CTAACGCTGCGGACTCACGCCAGAGCCCTCGCGGGACACCTAGTCGAGGCTCGAGCTGGCCTCGCGAAGCTCAAGGCCAGAGCCAAATACGCTGACGGAATGCTCTACTGGCAGAACTCAGGTAATTGCGCGCCGTCAAAGTTTTTTAACCGACAATATATAGCCATGACTCAATGAATTGAGCAATCAGCAGGCGTGATTGATGCGATGAAAGGGCTCAAAACTTAACTGTCCTGTCTCCTTCGAAATAATTATAATTATGGACGATGTGTAGGGTTGATGTCGGCTTTCTATCCCTAGATTCTGAGGAAAACAAGGCGTTGAGTGTGGAGATTGGAGCCTACAACATCCTGACCATGGAGCTGCTGCAGAAGGCAGGAGACACCGAGTACTTTGGAGACGCTCTTGCCGCGGTTCGCTGGATCAACGAGCAGAGAAATAGCGGGGGAGGGTTCGTCTCCACTCAGGTATGGACTGGGTTGTTGTGGGTAAACGATCGACGGTTGAGCTTGGAGGAATTTGTATAAACCTAGTTGATGTAAGCAGTTGTCCTTACGCTGGCTTATATGATGTTCGTAACGATTATCTGTTTGAGGTTGTTGTTCAAATGGAAACGCGTGTGTCCAAAATCAGACCTGTGAAGTAACAATATTATCCAGACTGTGGCCAACCGGGCGTCGGCCCCTCTAACCGGTGCGTCCCCTCAGGACACGGTGCTGGCTCTGGAGGCGCTGGCCAGTTTCTCAGCCGCCCTGCCGCGCTCCGCCACCTCCGAGCTGCGTGTCCGAGTGAGCGAGCCGCTGGGCGCGGAGGAGTTCCGCATCACGCCGGCCAACCAGCTGCTGGTGCAGACCCGACAGCTGGACAGACTGCCGGCGCGGGTGTTCGCCCGAGCCGAGGGCGACGGCTGCGCGCTGGTGCAGGTCAGTGACCTCAGGGGAGTGACCTCTGACCCCGTGTCAGAGGTCAGAGAAACTGGTGCAGGTCATTGGCCTGGGGGACTAGGGTAAAGTAGTATAAGTTCAGCCACTTTTTCTACTTTGCTTCTTTGACGCCATATTAAAGGGAACCAATAACTAATTCATGTACCAAATGATAGCTGGTCCCTTGCGCCCATTTACTCGTCGAAAAACTTTGCAAAGTCTTCTAGGAAATGCTCTTTGAAAAAAGGATAAGAAAGGTATTACACATTGATCACCTTACCCCATGGGTGGGGTAACATGATCCACCTTACGAGGCAAGTTGATCAATTGGCTCTGTGAGAATCGTTTCAAGACTGATGTTGAAATGTATCACAAGGTATGATTCTTGGACCTGTAATCCCTACTTTTAACAGCATCGTTACTTCAAGCTAATGTTGTTATGCCGGTAAATAACACAAAGAGTTGTATGTAAGTTTTAGGGATATAAGATCGCACATAGAAATTTTCATTAAAGGGACCCTCCCACCTTCAAAAAAGTTTATGAATTGGCATGAAAGTGATGTCGCTCGGTTCAGAAAGAGCGAAAACGAATATCTACTAAATTTCACCGAAAAATATTCACCGATTTTCAAGATATTAGACTTTTACTTTTGTTTACTTTTTGGGATCTCCGCTGTTCCTAGCGACTTTATTTGGAAGCAATAGTTTGGCAGCTGAAAGTGCGGCACTTGTTGCGCGCAAAGCAGCATACACCACCGCGTGCTACAAAACCATATACAAAACGTTTTAGTCAAACATTTAAAAATCGTTAGATATCTGCGCTGACGTCACACATTCAGAGGGGTATTCCTATGCATTAGCCCCTCTGAATCAAAATGCTGCAATTTTGAAATTCAATATTTCCGATTTAAGGCATTTCTCGATGTTGTGAGTGCCGAAACCGGTAATTGTGAGCCAGGGACCCCATTTTGGCTATCTCAACTCAAAGCTAATGCTAAGGTGGGAGGGTCCCTTTAAATATGAGACACAGAAGTGAAACGATACACACTTCTCAAAAAAAACATGCGGGAAAATTGTGAGGTTTCAGGCATAAATAAAATTTATCCCGCGCCCCGCTGGGGGGGGGGGGGGGCAGAATCTGCCCCTGCTCCCATTTTTCGTAAATAACTTCTAAACGCGTTACGCCAGTGACGTCAAACTTTCAGTACCTTATTATACATACCTAAATTTAAGCGGTTTCCTGAAATTTTGAGCGAAACCTGTTGGACAATTTTTGAGAAAATGACGTTTAATTGACGTCATGTTCGCCATTTTCGCCTAAAAACGGCAAAATTTCAAACGCCGCTAACATCTTCATTTTTAAAGGAATCAAGACGTAACAAAAAAGGTTATACGTGATTTCACTTTGTCTATCAAATGGCTATCTCGCTTTTTTGAAAATTTTGAATTTTGGCCCAATTTTTTCTCAAAAAACTGATTTTTGGGGGAAAATAATTATAAATTCCAAAATTTTGAGTGTATGAAAAACGGAATATATGCCAGAGGAGTGGTCTACGTGCACCTACATACCAATTTTTAAAAGAATCAGTTCAAAAATGTGAGAGTTATTGAAAATTTTATGACGTCACGACACACAAAATTTTCGGAAAATGATTTTTTTGGAAGTTCTAGACCTCGTTCGGAAACAATCATAGCACCATTCGATTCGCCGTGAAAAACTGCATCAGATAGACAGCTTCTTAGGCGTTAACAACCAACTTCAAAATTTGCCCTCACTTGACCTGACCGTGACCTGACCTTGACCTAAAATTCATCCAGATGTGGTCCATATCACTTATTGAGTGTGCCTATTGAATTCTATGAATAAAATGACACATAACACATGTGTCGCACATGCTCTTTTCTATATTTCGTTTTTGGTGACCTGACCTGACCTTGACCTTGACCTTGACCTTTACATGATATTGTATGCAACAAATATTGTCTTGGTAGCCTAAGAACACGTTTTGGGCAATCAGTCTCAGTCTATTCTTCGGCAACTACGGTGCAAGGCCGATACTGTAGAAACTTGCATTTTGTACCCTTGACCTGACCTTGACCTGACCTCTGACCTACTTAAGCAAAACATTTGAGCTCTTAACCCGCGCACCGACGGGGGTCTGCCGTCTGCGCCAGCTTCTTACCGATGGGGGTGCGGATGACCGCCCCCCCCCCGAGATCTCGAGAACGAAGCAAGATAGTGACAAGCGGTAAACGGCATGGGATACGCACGGACAAGATCTACATTTTTTACTAAGGTCATTTTCAGGTCAGGTCAAAGATGACGTCACAGGGATCAAAAAAGTCAAAATGGCGGCGCTAGATATATAGTTTTTTTCTCGAATAAATTTCGAACTAGTCAAGATAGGAACAATCTAAGGGCATCATCGTGATCCTCTCGTCAATCCGCATCGAATGATATATATTTTGACCTCGAAAGGTCAAGGTCAAAGATTGACCTCAGGTCACATGACCTCGAGATCATCATGTATATCATTCGATGCGTCTTAACACGCGCACCGACGGGGGGGGCGGATATACCCCCCCCCCCCCTGAGGTTTTTTCGCGAATAGCGGGAAAACCGCTACGCGCCGCGAAATTTGGCACGACTATTTCCTCATCAATTTTACACATGGTGTGCAAGTTTGAACCTCCTACCTTTTAAGGTCAGGTCACCAGGTCACTTTGAATGACCAAACCTCAAGTCACTTTTTTGCAACTTTGTCACCGTGCCAGAGCTACAGTAGATGTCGGAGGCCTTTGAAAGTCGCAGGATGTTATTAGGTCATTAGTAGCTACAATTTGTATATCTTGGAATTTTGATATCGGTGACCTAAGGTCAGGTCAATTTCGCGACCTCCCCATTATAAGTCAATGGGGGAAAAACCAACTCCCTATTTTTACCACTAAAACGGGTCGGAATGGCCCCATATACCATACATGACTTCATATACGATCAACCCTCTCTACCTTGAGGTCTGTTTTGCTGTTGGCCAGCTGTGAGGTCATGTGACGTCATCAAAGGTCACCAAAGGTTTTTGGCCAATAACTCCGTACAGGAACAAGATACAGCCGCGTGGATGGTTTCATTGTGTTCAGCTCGTCAAGACGAATCGAATAATATACATGATGACCTCGAGGTCACGTGACCTGAGGTCAAGCTTTGACCTTGACCTTTCGAGGTCAACATATATATCATTCGATGCGGATTGACCAGAGGATCACGATGATTCCCTTAGTTTGTTCCTATCTTGACTAATTCGAAAGTTATTCGAGAAAAACTCTCCATACCTAGCGCCGCCATTTTAGACTTTTTCGACCCCTGTGACGTCATCTTTGACCTGACCTGAAAATGACCTTTGTAAAAATTGTAGATCTTGACCGTGCGTATCCGATGCCGTTTACCGCTTGTCGCTATCTTGCTTCGTTCTCGAGATCTCAGGGGGGCGGTCATCCGCCCCCCCCCCCCCGTCGGTGTGAAGTTGGCGCAGACCCCCGTCGGTGCGCGGGTAGAAGCTGAACACAATAAGACCATCCACGCAGCTGTATCTTGTTCCTGTACGGAGTTAGGCAAAATACCTTTGGTGACCTTTGATGACTGCGAGGAGGGAGGTTGAAGGTTGGGTCATTCAAAGTGACCTGGTGACCTGACCTTAAAAGTTCGGAGGTTCAAGCTGCACACTATGTGTAAAATTAATGAGAGAATAGTCATACAAAACTTCGCGGCGCTAAGCGCCGCGGTTTTCCCGCTATTCGCGAAAAACCTGAGGGGAGGGGGCGGATAACCGCCCTCCCCCCGTCGCTGCGCGGGTGAAGCATTGTAGGTATTTACATATGCGTTAGAGCATGGCTCATCTTACGCCCCATCTACAACTAAATTCTTATAAGTGTTCCACAGTAAAACCACGGAATATATAGTCTACGACATGGAATGGACAAAACGAACTTTTCCTGTAACTGCTGAGTTTCTGGCTATCTGGCAATTTTAGGTGTGCTGCTGTGGTTTTGGCACTTCCGTGCTGTTAAGGACGCGATGAGTTTTATCTCATTCATAACAATATATTCTGGATTAACATTTTTAATTTCGATATTAATGAGCATGAAGTTATTTCTTTTCACTCTTATAACTTAAATTACTATTATAAAACTGTAAAACTATGTATGGATGTATTTGAGTCTGTCCCTGTTGGCGGGTTATTGCTCCGAAACTGTGCGAACTGCGCCGGTGAAATTTTCAAAGTCAAAGGCCTGCAAAGATTGGTTGCATTAGAATTTGGAGCGCGCACGACGCTCGGTTTCCACACTGGAGGAGCATCTTTTGCTGCACTCGGCTTGCATTCGGGTAGGTGCTTTTATCGCCAGTGCTTTCATCGCCAGGCTACCAGATGCCGTTAGCAGCACAATTCGGGCCGACACGCGCGCAGAAGGCCTGCAGATCTGGCCAGCATCCTGGCGCGGTCAGTGCTGAGTGACGAATGTGTTCTCGGCAGCAGCGGGTGTGAGACGCCAAGACACCGGCCGGTCGGTCAGACCAGCGGGTCGCCACGGTCCACCGCGGTCCGGGCACGGCGTTATTAGACCTGCAGCAAGACCGGTCACCTCGCCAGGAGCTGCATAAACGTCGAGGAAACAGCGTCAGCGCGAGCGCCGTCTCCCAGTCAGTAGCTCGCGCACTTCCGGTCGTGATATTTACACGGAGAGCACTGGTCTTGTGGTGTGGTCAGCCTATCACTTATCTCCCCCGTGGCCGGATGACTGCGGCCGGCGGCGGCATGGCTGAAGCAACGAGTGAATGATCTGACGAAAGGCTGGGATGACACCACAGATGATGTCGAGCTGCGTGCGCAGGCCAGCTACTCACAGAGCGTGTGACCCGCGCCGGCCCAGCGCGCGGGCCGTGAAGAAAGGCTGGGATGACACCACAGATGATGTCGAGCTGCGTGCGCACGCCAGCTACTTTACCGAGCGTGTGACCCGTGCCGGTCCAGCGCACGGGCCGTAAAGACTGACGGGTCGTCCTCTGGCGTCCTCCGTGCATGGTGGCGACACTGCGATGCAGTACCTGGAGGGAGAGCCGAAACACCAATCAGTCCTCCGGAGTGTGCCTTCGTTTACTGTTCAGAATAAGCGGTTGAAAAAAACACCGACGAATGTGCTGACATGATAGTCCACAGAGAGGAACGGAATGGCGATTCTACTGCCGCGACATTTTCTACCGCTAGATGGCAGGAAGAGCGAGCGCCTGAAGTTATGCTGTACCGCAAAGCTTTAGAGATCGAGAATCGCCGCCAGCAGTGAGGAAAATGGCTCCAGATATAGAGCTGTTGAAAGAGCTGCCATTCGTGGTTCCGAATCTAACGGCTTTCAAACTGCAGGGCATGCTTCGGCCCTATCCTTTACCTACCAGTGAAATGCGCGCGATCTTGCTCGACAGCGTCAGCTGGTACCGCGGTCGCCGCATCGACGGGTCTGGCTGGCCCCTCGCCGGCATCAGGGGCGACAGGAAAATCGCCGTCACTCGTCGGTGTCGGGGCAGGCTGGTGTGCCTAGACCGAACCTGACAAAGGCAAAGCGCGTGTCTGCATGAGGGGTAACGAGCAGCGAGTGTCATGTACCAATTTCCACCTGAGCTGAGTTCCACTATTCAACCCTCTGTTAAGTTCAGAAACAATAAATAGCACTTCGACAACGCTGTCCGTTTTTCTTCACCTCGTCTAACAAAATCGATTCCAGCTAAAATAAAAAAACGCTTCCTGAATTCATTCAATTCAGGAATTTGTTTTCAATTCTAATTCAAATTTGATTCAAATTTATTCAATTCAATTGGAATTTGATTCAAATTCATTCAATTCATTCAATTCGAACTTTAAAAAAAAAAATCGTGGAACAGAGAGATCAGAAGCATGTTTCTGTCCGTGTGACTGGACGGGCGGTCGGCGGTCACAATAGCGCAAAGGGTAGAATAATTGTATTAATAACTAACTAACACATAAATAAATAACTTATTGCTATAAACAACTTTTTTTAAATAATAAGGCGATACAAACTTATCCGGCAATGGCCAATGTGCCTGTAGCCAGAAGCAGCAGCTCCACTGGCGAAGGATACCATCAGCCGGTTGCGCTTCGCTTTTGCGGGGCCGGCCGGGCCGGGTCGGGTCGTAGGCAGCCACGGATGCAGCCTTCTCGGTAAAGTAATCTTGGCCTTCTCCGGTGTCTAGACAGTTGCGATTTTGATATCGCCTTTTGGCAGTAGCCGCAGTGAACCGCGCTGCGGCTGGGCCACATCACTTTTTAAGCTCACAAATTCGCGATAAAAAACGCCAATCCGCAAACTCATTCATACTCCTATCACAATAAAAAAGTACAAAAAAATCAAATGAATGAGAAGATTAACGGTAAATCGCCGTTACCAGTACTAAACCAGTAAAACGCCTTTTGGGCGAAGAACGAGCGAGCGAGATAGTGAGCCCTGCAGGCTGCACGTGCGGAAGGGCGAGAGGGTACTTCCAACGGGCTTGCGCAAAGCACCCTTCTAACTGGTCGCTAGCGGTGTGCCAAATTTGAACGCAATCGGCCCAGCTGTTCCTGAGATCTGGAAGCGGCATTCTGCACGTGCGCACGTGCAAACGGGGTCCAAAATGACTTTTGCACGGCACCATACTAACCGGTCCCAAACCGTGTACCAAATTTGAGCGCAATCGGCCCAGCCGTTCTCGAGATCTGGAAACGCCCCCCTGCACGTGCGCACGTGCAGTAGGACCTTAACCGCAACACATGGGAATGCATTGCCTGGTGGGTGCCTACCTGTATGCCAAGTTTCAGCGAAATCGCCCCAGTAATTACCGAGTTATTAAAATGGGAACAAATTTGACACCTCTTATTGTTGTATTTTGCACGTGCACTGGGGGTGACCCACATTCATCTAGAGTATCCTATTTTTGGTAGAAGGGATGTTGCTACTCTACAAAAATTACCGCAAGTCAATCGCCCAAGCGGCTGCTGAGATATGAGCCTCTCAAAATCACTACTTTTGCAAAACAGCTTGAACACCCTTGACTTTTCACGTGGCACGTGCCACGACGGTCACTGAGGTGTATCAAAAGTAGTCAATTACGGGGTAGAAGGGATGGGGCTACCCAGCAAAAAAGACCGCAGGCCAATCGGTCCAGCGGTTGCTGAGATATAAGCCTCTCAAAAGCGTTACAGGCCGGGCCGGGCCGGGCCGGGCCGGGCCGCTCATACTGAGATTTTTCCGTTATATTGAAAAGACTCACTTCGCTCGCTGCGCTCGCTCGCTCGTAATAAGCCGTCGACTCTATCCTTGAATCACTGCTGCACAAGAATGTCGAATTTTGTTTAGGTTGTCGAGTTTTGTTCGTGGTTTTGCGAAAAATATTTGATTTTCTAGCGCGAGAGCACTGTGTGCGTTTATAATACGGGCGCCTCCTTGGTTACTTTCGAGTTACACGTTTAACGTGGTTAAATCGCGATATGTCCATTCCATGTCGTAGACTATATATTCCGTGGTAAAACAATCACTTTCTAGAAACCGTTTAAGGGCCCAAGACTCTGGCAGATATACGTAGAGTGCCCAACAATAAAAATGGCAGCCTGGTTCGCTTTGCATCAGGAGCAAGAAGGCATCAGCAAAAATACTGACAGTTTACTTTCTAAGAGCTAAAAAGTTTTTTTCCCCAGTCATAAATGATTTCCCAGTTCCCAGTCACTGATTTCAACCAGATTTGCCATGAAGGTTTGCAAAACTAACGTCCACTTACCTGGCAAGAACGGTATGGATGCAAGCCATAGAAGCCGAGAAATCGGCGTGGATCATCTTACCACTATTTATTTATTTATTTATACATACAACAACATACACAAGCATCGTGGCCACTATGCTCAACTTACCTCACCTTACCCTACCGCGGGCTGGTCCCAACCCAGGTGGCCTAGGTCATTAGGTAGGTACTGATGTACAGCCCTCTGCTCACTGCGTGGTAGGTATACGTTACACACAGCAATATCGACCTACGTTCTTACTTAAAGCGACGGAGATGCATAATGATACTCTGGAAATGTCCACAGCAACTTTTTGCACCCGTCCTAAAAGTGGCACGTTTGAAAGCTCCCTATATTTCCAGATATCAGGGAAAATGTTAATTTTCAGCTATTTGCTCTGCCCCGAATCAGATTGAGCCTGACTGCGCCACTTCCAATGGGAAAGTCCAAATTGAGCCTGGCGAGGGGAGGTCAGAGTTTTACGCACGCTGCCCAGATACGCACGTTTGTTGTGATAGCTCGCACTGCCTGGGTAGAGGCTATTCACTACGGCTGATAGGGGAGGGGAGCCCTCGGGTATCCAGCGGTAGGTCAAAGTTCACAGAAACTGGCCGCCGGGGCACAATGATGGTCACCTGAGCTGCGGACCACAGCTGGACTTCGGACCTCTCCCCATCCCCTACCCCAGTTGACCCGAGACGGGTCGCGGCGTGCCCTCGGGGCCGGCAGGGTGTGCGGGGCGCCGGCGTTACGGCCAGTGGTTGGTGTTTTTGAGGTGGTGTCCGCTGATTATGAGCCAACGGGCGAAGCAAAGTATTTTCACTAAAACGGAAAAAATCTTAGTATGAGCGGCCCGACCTGTAACGATTTTGAGAGGTTTATATAAAAGCAACCACTGGGCTGATTGACCTGCGGTCTGTTTTTTTCTTTTTTTTGCTGGGCAGCCTAATATCCCTTCTACGCCGTAATTAACTTCTATTGACAGGGCTGCGGAGTCGATTAATTTTTTAGGACCGATTCCGACTCCGGCTCCGCAGACCTGGCAGGGCCGAGGAGGCGGCAGATTTTCGGTGACTCTGACTCCGGTCTCGGTTTCCAAAATCGACTACGACTCCGACTGCGACTCCGGTCACAGCTATCGACTCCAACCGATTCCGACTTCGGCTTCGACTCCTACTCCGACTCCGCAGCCCTGTATATTTATAAATCTAAAGGCGTCTGTCGTGGCACGTGCCATGTGAAAAGTTAAGGGTGCTCAAATTCTTTTCCTTAAGTATAGAGCTTTCGAAAGACCTATAGTAAAGGTCTTTCAAAAGGATATAGATTATTAGATATCTTACCAGCGCTGGGGAAAGGGGGTTGGGGGTTGGACGTAGGTATCCTGCGTTTTTCGCAGATATTGAGTAAAAAAAAAAAAAAAACGGCAGCGCAGAGCAAAACCGTTTTCGGCACACCTCTTAATGCAAGTTTCCCGCACATGCTGTGAAAGTTTCAAGCCCATGCCTCTCAAGGTCAGGTCACCAGGTAGGTCACGTAAAGTGACCTCGCCTCAGAAAAAAAATTAAAATGCTCGTCATAGCCACATTGACTGAACGATCGCCTTGAAACTTTGAGCGATTGATTAGAGCGCTGTGCATTAAATGTTAATTTCGTAATTTTGATATCGCTGAGCTAAGTTTAGGACAATCTGCGACCTCTCTATTTTTGGTCAGTTGGAGAAAATTGAAATACGTATTACAAGACAAACGGTATTCTAAACACTCTCAAATATCATGACACCAGTAAACTTGACACACTGAATAAGACAATAGCACATGGGAACCTTACTTATGTCCCCGAGGCCATCGCAGGTCATGAAAGGTCCCCGGCGGTTTTTGCCTTTGATTAGAGCGATGAAAACACCTTCGATGTGCTTAGGTCGACGATGCGCATTGACTGATGCGCAACATGACCTCTTCCGGACAGGTCATGACCTTGAACTTGCACGTTCCTTGCTTGAGTCAAAAGTGTTTAAAGGTCTATCGAACGCGCTTTTCTACGGCACTGCATCAATATTGATTCATTTAAGTTATGCGCCGGTGTTTCAGAAAATGTTTAAATATGCACCACTTTACCTTTGTTGACATCTGGTGACCTAACCGTTAACCTGACCTATAAACTGATCGAAATATTTTCGTCTTGATTTTGAACGTTGTTTCAAATGTCGCTTACCGTGTGTTGCTACGTGGCCCATAGACTGAGTTAACCCTCGCCCGTATTGTTGTTTAGCCAGCCACGAACGTATAGGGGAGGGGGGGGGGGTTCGTTGGATACCCCTTGCCGTTTGGCCTCTGATGGACTTAGAGCTTCGCGGACAAAACGAGCGTGTTGTTGGTGACGAGAGGAAACAAAAAATGTCTATTTTTAAGGTCCTAGATCATAAGTTGACCTTCCAGGTCAGGTCAATGACCCCAAAAATCGGAACAATGGAAACTGTTAGAAGTTAGAACGTCGTAAAGTGTGGCTGTTAGTTTTTTTTTCGGGGTGCTAATCACAAATATCATGTTAGGTTTGATCAAACATGATGTCTTCACGCATTTAGGCCAGGTCGGGTCAGGTCAGGTCAGGTCAACCAGTAGGTTCTTGCCGGGTATCTATAGTAGGTGTCAACTGCCACTCACAGCTCCGCAACATGTTACAAAGGCACCAAAACTGCTTCTTAAATGTTCAAATGGATGCTAAATTCTAAATGAGCTCCAAAAACTGTCCTAGACACGTGTAAAACTCGAAAAGTGAA